AAATCAGCTTTTAAATACTGATGCGATGATTTGGAATTTGAACGGAACAGCTGATCTCCAATTCGCTTTGAGTGAGAGCGGTGTTTATACACTCTTTCTAACTGTCTGGAGAAATAAACTACCGATTTGAAATGGAGTGTGAGCCAAAACACTTCGCTCTTTCAAAGCGAATTGAAATTCAGTTTATACATATGTTTGAATCGCGGCGAAATGAAACTTTTTAGTCCATTTATAAAAGCGTTGTATATTAAAAAGTTTTTTTTTATATTATTTATTTCTTTGTAGATTAATTGCTCATCCTCTTTTGGAACTTTGGTTCCTCTCCAAAAATATCATGAATACTCTTTATCCATACTATTGGGGACTTTAATAGATAATACAGGCGATGGTTTAAATAAACTAACTACAAATTTTGACATTTAGGATTTGACTCTTTTGTATAATTTTTCTCTGTTCAAAGCGAAAAATACTCTTTCAAGGCTCTTCTCGTAGACTTTTTAAATTTGAATATTTACGATCTGAGGATGTTCGTATGACTTTTCTCTATTCAAAGAGGAAATAAGTACTCTTTAAAGGCTCTTCCCGTAGACTTTTGTGGATTTGAATATTTCTGATCAGAGTTTTGTAGCTACGGCCGCTCGCATTTCGTATGCCGATATATTTAGTCATTTTTATATCGACACCACACTATAAATACATACATAGTAAGCAAATAAATTTATAAAGGAATATTCTTTGGCAGGTCATCGATTTGTTGAATCCGGGCTCATCGAAAAAATCACTTGCCGTGCGTTGGTCAAAGAAGTCTGGAGGATTTTTTGTGGAGAACCTTTTCACCGTAGATTGCGAAGAGTTGGATGACCTATTAGCAGTCCTAGAAGAAGGTAAGACAAAGAAAATCAGCGTATAGCAGTTGGTGAGTTATTTAACTTTATAAAAGTTATCCGAGCATAGAAATTTAGAATGAATTAATAAAATATTTAAATGAGTTTACTCAGCTGGAATAGCATCCAAAAACGTCGTTGAATTCATCCTTATCAATGGCTGCATTTTTTTATTCATTCTGAACGTTTGGAATAAACTTTTTTGTTTACTTATTCTTTAGAACGTTCCTGATGATATGTTAATGTATATTTCAAACGCGTTCTGTTTATTCCGGCTGTGAAATGGGATTATCCGGAATGTATAAAGAAACGCAGCCAATATTAATAAGGTGATGGGTTCTATGTAAATATGTAGGCCGTAATAATTTACAAAAATTATTACCTTTTTTTAAAACGATTTTATTTAACTTGTCAATCGATTTTAAACTAACTTCCCGGACTTGAAACTTTCAGGATAGTTCCAAGCACGGTGGCAATGCAATTTAAAATATATATAAACGACCGTTTCTCAACTGTTTGTTCATTTTATCTTCCATTTAAAGACAACGACTGAGCTTTGTACGCTGACTTGGCGGTAGCTGTCAGGAGTCTTAACTAACCACTTCTTCTTAAATGAGAGACATTTCACAGCTAATCTTAAAAGAACCATTAGAGCTTGCTATTCAGAATGTATAAAATAACTTCTCTACTCTCTAACGTAGCTGCGTGTTTCACTGCGCCTTAAATGTCAGCCCAATTCTGAATACTCCCGGGGAGTTTGTTCTCCGGGAATGTAGCATTTTTCTCGAAATTTTGAAGGAGGAAATTCGTACTTCGAAAGAGCTATTTGACACTTTTTTGACAGCTAAAATTAGCATTGAGACCATCAGTTATAAAATATATTTAAAGAGCTTTATGAAGTAAAATAAAAAAAATTCAATCTATGAAGCATTGTGTATTTATTTTTGAGTGTGGGTGTTCGTTAATACCCAACAAGCAAAATAAACTTAAAGAAATTTTTTTTTAAGTTTTCAATTATAAACATTAAGCTTACAAAACGTTGATTTTTTGTTTATAAAACGCTTGAAAGTAAGCGTAATATAATCAAAAAGGAACATTGGTTATACGCGTAGAAATATAAACTTGTAATAAATGTTCAAAAGAAAGCTTTTTATAAGCGTAAAAGTGTAAACTTATAATAAAGGTTCAAAAAAAGTTGTTTATAAGCGTATGAATATAAACTTACTACAAAATTTTAAAAGAAAGCTTTTCATAAACCTTTTTATAACCCTTTATTTAAAGATATTTCATTAAAAATTTATACATAGATTGCTTAACATCTAGAAACTAAAAGAAATGCGAATTTTCGACGGACTCATCTACAGTCGCGAAAATATAAATAGGGAATAGACATTTTAGCATACAAATTCACGATAACACACAAAAATTAAGCATAACAAGTAAGAAAGTCTAAGTTCGGGCGGAGCCGAACATTAAATACCCGGCGCAATTATTAAATATATGTTTTCCACCTTTCCGAAAACTACCGCTACACGATAAGCCGGGGTGTATAAATTTTAAGTAAATTAGCGTCCTTAAATTTCGAAATATTGAAGTTTCAAGCATTACTGAAATATACCGTT